CTAGCTTACGTCTCCGCCTCAGCCTGCCCCCGCGGCTTCATTTTCCCTAACATTTTTCTCTACCCGGTATGTTTCCTAACTTTTCTTCCAACAATATTCCCCTCTCATTTCTCCTGGCTTCTCCCCACAGTCCGTATCCGAGTCTAAGTTTCTTCTAGGTTTCACTTTCGCTTTCAACCATAAATTTCTCCTAACCCCCGCCATAGTCTGTATCTGAGTCTATGTTTCTTCCAGCTTTCACTTTCGCTTTCAATCCTAACTTCTTCCAGCACTTTTTCTGTCCGGCTTTTCCCTAGGCTCTTTCCTAGTCTCTCTCTCCGGTATTTTCCCACTTCTTCCCTCGTCTCTCTCTGATATTTTCCCACTTCTTCCCGCTTCTTCCCTCCTAGGTTTCCTACCGAGTCACGGCACCATTATGTCTCCTAGGCTTCCTATCCAAGTCACGGCACCATTATGTCGCTCCCCCTCTTCGCGGAGGAGCGACACCTTTGCAGGCCACATTTGCTCTTCCCTGCTGGCTTAGTAACAGAAGTTCTACTGCACTCGATGGTTACTGAGGGTAAACGAGAGTGAGTGTGCCCTGGCAGATTCCCATCTCCCATGCTTCCACTTTCACATGCTTCTTAAGTGGACTCTAATCCTCATGGGAGAATTTAATCTGCTCATCTGTACACATCTCAACAACCTGCTTTGCTGAGAACTGGCTGCTGTCCCAAGGAAAAGTCTTCCAAATCTTTTAAAGCTTTTCTGACAGGAGCCATGAAATCGTGCTTTATTCAGAGTGCACTCAACTTGAACCTCAGGGGTTTCACGACTCAGAAATCACCCACTTCGTGTAGGACTTAAACTGGGAAAACTACTTCCTTGTCTTCTATAAGTCCCTCCCCTGGTCTCTGTGCTAAGTTTCTTTTTTTAAAAGAACAAACTATATATATTGGAGTGGCAGAGTTAGAGGGAAAGAGAGATAAAGAGGTTTTCCATCCGCTGGTTCACTCCCCTAGTGGCCACAATGGCCAGAGATGGGCTGATCCAAAACCAAGGGCCCAGAGCTTCTTCCAGGTCTCCCACATGGGTGCAGGGACTCAAGCACTTGTGCCATCTTCCTCTGCTTTCCCAGGCCATTAGCAGGGAGCCAGACCAGAAGTGGAGCAGCTGGGACATGCAACTGGCACCCATATGGGATGCTGGCATTGCAGCTGGAGGCCTAACCTACTATACCACAGTGATGGCCCCTGTGCTAAGTCTCTATACACTGTTGGGCCTTTTTGAACTTACTTCTTTCTCTTTCTCTCTTGCTCACATACACACATATCTTAGCCAGAAAACCAAGGAAAATAGGAAGTGGCCAGCCCTTCCCTAAACATAAAAAGCTGTCTCAGCCACACCTTCTCACAGGTCCATAATGATCATTGCTGGGGCCCAGAAATCCTGACTGGTCTATGTAAGGGCCAAACAATTATAATTTACAGAGCCAAACAATTATAATTACATCCTTCATCAAGGCATTTAATTAGGCACAAGATAAGAGACTTCTGGACTCCTAGGAACCCTTGCAGGGAAGATTGGGAATGACCCAGAAAGTAGCTACTTTAAGTCCCAAGGAAGCACAACCCTCAGCATTATACTGTTCAACCTGTGAATAGAGGGAGAGAAAATTTCATTTCTAAAATCCAGGCAAAGAGTTAGGCTGAGAGAAAATTTTAGCACTTTCTCTTTCTAAAGTTATCTTCTTAATATTTTCCTCTTTATACTTGGAAATCTAATTAACTAAAAGTGAAGAAAATTGGCTCAGGAGAAAAAAATCCTAATAGTGTAAAGGCCCAAAGAGTTACCCCTCTTCTAAGGAATCCTGTTAGTTGTGGCTGGGATCACACAGAAGCTTCACTGACCATTATCTGAGGCATCCTCATGTCTTGTTAACCCCAATGTTCACCACTTACCAAGAGACCACCATGAATCAGGAGCCATGTTCTACATATATCACCACATGCAATTCATTCAATAAAATGGGGGGGGGGTGAATTAAGCCAGTCCCATTGCATAGGAGAAAAAAACCAAGGCCCAAAGGGTTTAAATTCCCTGTCCCAAAAGCAATATAGCTAAGAAGTACCAGAGCTGCTGTTAAAAGCAGATTCGTGGAACTCCAAATTCTGGACCTAATACCATGTTGCACAGCACCTTGTCTGTCACAGGTGCATCTTGTTTTGTTTTAGGGGTTTTGTGGCATTGAGTGATTTATAAATTGTACTTCTTCAGTATTCCTTGAAGACCTACTATGGGAAAGCTACTATAGACATTTTAAAAAGCATAAGACCTAATTCCTTCCCTCATCTCTCACTCTGACTATTGCAATAGCCTGTTTACAAATCTTCTGTTGCCAACACTTTCTCTAGTTCAATTCATGTAGCAGTCACAGTATTCTTTAATTTTTCAAAAGATCTATTTATTTGGAAGGCAGGTTAAAAGACAAATTTTTGCAGTCATTGGTTCACTTCCCAAATGGGTGCGACAGCAGAGGCTGTGCCAGGTTGAAGCCAGAAGCCAAGGACTCCATCTGGGTCTCCAAGGTGGGTGGCAGAAACTCAAGTACTTTAGCCATCATCCACTGCTTCCCAGGAAAATGAGCAGAAGGATGAAATGGAAGTGGAATACCCAGAATTTGAACCAGCACTGTCATGAGATACGGGTGTCTGAAGCTAAAGCTACAGTCTAATCTTCTGTGCCACAATTCTCACCCCCAGAGTAATCTTATTAAATGAAAGAAAAGCCACTTTCTGCTTCTTCCTATTTACAATAATCTATGGCTTTCCATTACAACTGGAATAAAATCCAAGCTCTTGATAGCCTAAAAAAATTATGAAGGTTTGCCCCCTCTCCATCTCATCTACTACCACATGCCTCAATTCACTCTCACAGCTCTCAGGCCTTCTCTTTACTCCTAAAATGTGCCTAGACCCCTATTTTCAAATCCTTACACAGTTGTCTCCTGCTCATCACATTTCAATTGGAAATCATTTCCAAGGGCATACCAAGCTTATTTGGCAGTTGTTTTTTTTTTTCCTTTGATGACAAATCATTACATAAAATCAGTCATAATTATTTTCTTGATAAATTCTTTAGTTTTAACAGAAGCAATTGATGACTTAAAAGAAACTTTCATTTTTAAAGTATTCAAATTTAATATACTATCTACAAAGCAAACTAAAATTTGCACATACCAAACAAAAATACTATACTCTGCAGCTGAGCTGATTTGCTTTAAAATATAATCAAAGGGGTGGGCATTTGGCATAGTGGTTAAGGTACCACAAGTGGACACCACATCCTACATCAGAGTGCTGTGTTTGGGTCCTTGCTCTGCTTGCAATTCTAGTTTCCTGGGAAGCATCAGGTGATGAATCAAGTAACTGGGTTCCTGCCATCCACATGAGAGACTTAGATTTAGTTCCTGGTTTTGGCCTGGCCCAGGTCCCAGTTGTTGGGGCACTTGCAGAGAGAACCAGCAGATGGGATACCAGTTTTTCTCTCTGGATGAATGCAAGCATATGTAGTATCACAGCTGTTGGAGATAAAAACTTAGTCCCAGGGACCAACCAATTCTGAAATACTACTCTCTAACTAAATCTGCAATTTCAGGGGTCCACAGTGTATATTATGTGTGTTGAAGTTACAACATATATATCAAAACTTAAGTAACCACAGCAATTTTTTAAACCCTAGATCAACCAAATTTTTTTAGGAGAGAAATATTTTACAACGGTCATTGTTTAAAATTGCCAGTATATGATATATAGGAACAGGCCAAACATTACTGTTACTTTGGTTTGTTTAAAAAAAAAAAAATTATTTGAAAGGCAGAGTTACAGAAAGAGAGAAGAGAGAGAGAAATCTTCCATCCACTGGTTCATTCCCCAAATGGCCACCATGGATAGGGCTAAGTCAGAATGAAGCTGGAACCTAGAGCTTCTTCTAGATCTTCCAAATGGAGGCAGAGGCCAACTACTTGGGCCATAGTCCTCTGTTTGCCCAGGCATGTTAGCAGGGAGCTGGATGGGAAGTGGAGCAGCCAGGCCGGGACTTAAACCAGTGACCATATGGGATGCTGGCATCATGGGCAACAGATTTACCTACTATGCCATGCCAGGCCTATTATATTGGTTTTTTCAAACGTTTCTTTTATCTACTGGAAAGGCATAATGAGAGAGGTGGTTGACTTTCCAAATGGCCACAATAGCCATGGCCAACCCAGACTGAAGCCAGGAATCAGGAACTCCACCTGAATCTCCCACACTAGTAGCCATCAGCCACTGCCTTCCAGGATGCATGAGGAAGCTAGATTAGAAACAAGCTGCAGGGACTTGAACTGGCACCCCAATAGGGAAAATGGGCACTCTGAGTGGTGACAACCTGCTGCTGTACCACAGTACCTGTCCCACTGATTGCTCTAAAATCCCTCTACAGATTAGCAGCATCCTGCTCCCTTCCCCTGCACAGTTATAAAAAGAAAAAAAGAAAAAAAATTGGTGTGTGTTGTTATGTGGGGAAATAGGGCATGACAGTAGCAGAAACATGGAGGAGGAAGTAAAACAATGGAGATAAAATGTACCAGAAGCCAAGGGAGGGTAAATTTCAAGAAGGATGAAATAGTTGGTTGTAACCTATACTACAGAGCACCCCCTCTTCTCTTGTCAAAGCCAATTGGTAACACAGTCCAGAGATCTCCTTCTACTACATGGGGAGGTAAAACCAAAGTGCCTTCTTCTGGTCAGGATACAAATTAATTCAAAGGGGAAATTTTTTTTTTTTTTGAGGGGGTAAAGATTTAATTTATTTATTTGAGAGGCAGAGTTACAGAGAGAGGGAAAGACACAGAGAAAGGTCTTCTATCCGCTGGTTTACTCCTCAAATGTATGCAACAGCTAGAGCTGGACAGATCTGAAGCCAGGAGCCAGGAGCTTCTTCTGGGTCTCCCACATGGGTGCAGGAGCCCACACACTTACGTCATCTTCAACTGTTTTCCCAGGTCATAGCACAAAGTTGGATCAAAAGAGGAGCATCCAGAAATACAACCGGTGCCCATATGGGATGTTGGTGCCACAGGTGGAGGCTTAGCCCACTAAGCCACAGCGCCAGCCTGCAAAGGGAAAATTTCTTACATTTGTTCTTAACCATGTGTTAGTGTCAAAGGCAGGAAGAGAGATGAGTACATGTGATATTCATGCAGTGTCAGGTTTCTGTTCCTCAACCTTAATCCTGCATAGAAGTCAGCCAATGGCTAAATCAACCTTGATGGTGCATGAAGAGGGAGGAGATCCTACTTGGGACACAGGTAGCAAGAAAATCTCCGGGTCTGCCTCTTAGATGCCAATTTGAGGAAAGTTCTCAAAAATAACCACCCACAGAGCTGGTTAAATGCAATTACACTGACCACTCACACGTGCTGTCTATCCCATCTGCATCTTGCTCACTTAAAGAAACAGCAAGCACTTGACCACTTTTAAGTCATTTCACTTTTTAAAAGATTTATCACTTCTTTACTTGAAAGACAGTGAAGAGAAGAAAAACCAGAGAGAGAGAAAGACTGTGTTTTTCTATCTGCTGGTTCTCTATACTCCCACAACAGGATGATACTGGGCCATGCTGAAGCCAGGGTCCAGGATCTCCCATAATGGTGCCAGGAATCTAAGTATTTGGGCCACCATATGCTGCTTCACAGAGTGTGTTATAGCAGGAAGCTAGACTGGAGTGCACCCCAGAGTAGATCCCATGTATTCCATCATGGGATATAGACATCCTAAGAGGCAGCTAAACCCTCTGCAACACAACACCACCCCAAGTCTTTTCAATTTTAAACTCCCTTCTATAGGTAGGTCTCAATCTGATTTTTGGATGGTGAAATTGAAGTAAACATCACTTAACAGTTTTTTAACTTTTTTATTAAATAAAACATATTTTGTAAGCAAAATCACTTTCTAGCAACTGTGGCTACACTCCTATCCATTTCACTATTTAGAAGAAACATAATCAATTAGTAATTGGTTCTAGATGCAGGGGCATCATTTTTCTCTATTAATTCATCTCTTCAATTTTCAACCTTTAAATGCTAGGTTACAGGCCTTTCCCATAATACCAACTTCCAAGTTATCTCTTTAAAATCAATTTTTATTTTACAATAGTTTTCAGATTTACAGAAAAAAAATGCCAGGGTAAAACGGAGTTTATATATACCTCACCCCCAGTTTCCACTCTTACTAACAAATTAATATGGTACACTTAACACAACTAATTAAGCAATGTTGATAACATTTTTAAAAAATCAAGGTGGCATGTACCAATGCCATCTCACTAGTCCAAGTGATCAATTTCAGTTCACAATTGATCATAATGAAAGGACTAAGAGTCAAAGGGAGCACATAAACAAGTCTAGTACCTGCTAACACTAACCGATAGAATAAATAAAGGGGAGAGAGATCCAACATGGGAAGTGAGATACTCAGCAGACTCATAGAATGGCAGATGTCCTAACTAGCACTCTGGCCTCAGAATCAGCTCTAAAGGCATTCGGATCTGGCTGAAAAGCCCATGAGAGTATTTCAGGCATGGAAAGCCAAGATACTCTGGCAAAAGATCTCTGTGAGTGAGATCCCAGTGGAAAGAACAGGTCTTCAAAGAAGGAGGTACCTTTCTCTGAAGGGAGGAGAGAACCTCCACTTTGACTATGACCTTGTCTAAACAAGATAAGAGTCGAAGAACTCAGAGGGCTTCCATAGCCTTGGAAACTCATGACTGGAGCATTGGGAGATTACTGATGCCATAGACAGGAGTGTCAATTGGTAAAGTCAACAACAGGAGTCACTGTGCACTTACTTGTCATGTAGGATCTCTGTCCTTAATGTGCTGTGTATTGAGATTTAATGCTATAACGAGTACTCAAACAATATATTTCACTTTGTGTTTCTATGGGGGTGCAAACTGTTGAAATCTTTACTTAATGCATACTAAACTGATCTTCTGTTAAAAAAAAAAAAAAAAAAAAAAAAGGAAAGAAATTATCAATTCCCAACTTGACTCTTACTGGGATTAAACACGACAATAGGTCTGATCTGATTTCATCATCATTTAAAAAAATCATCTATTATTTTTCACTTTATGTTTCTGTGTTGGAGCAAACTGTTGAAATCCTTACTTAATGTATACTAAGCTGATCTTCTGTATATTAAGATAATCGAAAATGAATCTTGATGTGAATGGAAGGGGAGAGGGAGTGGGAAAGAGGAGGGTTGTGGGTGGGAGGGACGGTATGGGGGGGAAGCCATTGTAATCCATAAGTCGTACTTTGGAAATTTATATTCATTAAATAAAAGTTAAAAAATAAATAAATAAATAAAATATATTTATTTGAAAGGCAAAATTACAGAGAGAAAGAGAAAAAAATCTTCCATCTGCTGGTTTACCCCCAATTAGCTTCAATGGCTGGGGCTGAGATAGGCCATAACCAGGAGCCTAAAACACCATCTGGGTCTCTTGGATCTCTCACATTGGTGGCCTGCGCCCATGTACTTGAACCACCTTCTGCTGCTTTTCCAGGAGCATCAGCAGAGAATTGGATTGGAACTGAACAGTCAGAACTTGCACCATCACCCACTGGCTTTGCAAGTGGTGAATTAACCCACTGCATCACAACACTGGCCCCAACATTGATATGTTATGAAATGAAATCCACATTTTACTTGTATTTGCTTAGTTTTTACTTAATGTTCTTTTTCTTTTCCAGGATCTCCGAATTGTAATTTTAAAGTCAGAAACTAGATCTTTTAGTTATAGAATCAATAAATGAGGGCAGCATAGTGGTGCTGCAAATTAACCTGTTGCTTACATGCCAGTATTCCATATCAGAAAGCCAGTTAGAAGACTGGCTGCTCTTCTTCTGACCCAGCTTCTTGTTAATGCAGTGGAAGATGGTCCAAATGCTTGGATCCCTACCATGCATGTGGGAAACTCATATGGGGTTCCTAACTCCTGGTTTCAGCCAGGTCCACCATAGATGTTGCAGCCATCTCTCTCTCTCTCTCTCTCTCTCTCTACTTCCCCCTTTAAAACATAATACATGTACATATTAAGTGTCAAATACCACATAGGTGTATAAATAAAAGTATTACTTCTTTCTTTCCAAGAAGAAACTACTCTTAAGTTTCTTACATGCCCTACTGTAAGTTCCATATGCATATACACAATTGTACTTAACATCATGAAAAATGGAATTAAAATGTAAAGTTTGTTTTACTATAAATTTTGAAATCCATGCATAGAAAGGGTCTTCAAAAAGATTGTGTAGTGCATTATGAAAAAAATTGAATGGGTTTCAATTTTTTGCACCAAAATAACATTATCTTTTAACTCCATTTTCTATGAATTTTTTGAATTTACAAAGATACATATGCTTGTATCTTTTTTTTATATGAAGTAGTATTTTTTTTTCTGTGCCTTCTTTGACATATAAGCAGTCTGTCCCTAACTCATTTTTCAAACTACTACATATTTTGTATTCTATTATATGGATGTTTCATAATGTATTTTAGTATTTCCCTATTGATATACACTTGTTTTGTTCTCACTGCAAAAAATATTATAAAGAACTTACAAAGTCTTTATGTACTTGACTAAATATCTGTAGGATAAATTCCTGCAGCTGAATCCTACCAAAGGACACTTGCATTTAAAATATTTTGTAAAGATACTGGCAAATTTTCCTCCAGAGACACTCTTCTGTATTATATTCCTGCCACCTGTGAGTACAAGATCCTCTTCCCCAACTTCATCAAGTATGTTATCACACAAACTGTTCATTTCAAGATGTTTCAAATTTTCCATCTTCCTTTCTCTAACTTCAGGTTGTCTTCCTTCTTCGTGGCTCTCTGATCACATTCGGTTCTCTTACCAAATTTCTGTGAATACTGTCCTGTACTTATTTCCCTCCATCCTTATACTCTAATTCCTTTCCCTCACACCTCCAACCTCATTTTCCCTGCTCATAAATTGCCCTTATAGTTTCTCTGCAACTCAGCACCAGCGAACAGAAAGCACTCTTTCCCTGCTCTCCCAATCTGTCAACTTCCTGGACCAACAGAGAATGTTAATCAAGAAACCTGGAAAGATTTCATCAGGGTCAAATTACAAGAAGGAATAAATTCCCACTGCTGTAGATCTGAGGAAAAATATGCCTGGGAAAGCATTGGAAGATGGCCCAAGTCCTTGGGCCGCCACACCCGTGTGAGAGACTTAGAAGAAGCTCCAGGCTCCTGGCTTCGGATTGGCACAGCTCCAGCCGTTGCGTCCATGTGGGGAGTGAACCAGCAGATGGAAGACCTCTCTCTTTCTCTGCCTCTGCCTTCTGTAACTCTGCCTTTTAAATAAATAATTAAATAAATAAATAAATAAATAGAGAGAGGGTGGACGATCTTTGTCCCCCCTGCCTTTCAAATGAAATGACAATAAGTAAATATTAAAAAAATAATAATAATAGAGAAGTAGGGCAAAAAATAGGGGTGAAGGAAAGCAAAAACTTAAAATCCTAAAAGCACCAGACTGTAAAATAGGAAACAAATCACAGAAAGGGTAGAGGTGGGAGCAAAGATTATCTCAGGAAAAAAAGCCAACTTCTTGCATCCTCCAAGAAAAGATCTTTCACTCCATCACTACCACCTTCTGTCCAGAGCTCTAAATACAATTCAAGAGAAGGCATGGGTTGCATGCAAGGCGGGGCACAGCGGAAGGGGCAATGAAAACCCAGTTCCTCTAATAGCAAATTCCTCACCCCAACTTCATATGCAGCAAATCTGTACTCACCACCTAAAATCAGCTTCACAGAATAAACCACTGAGGCTCAGAAAAATCAAAGATCCACAATTGCTGGCCTATTAAGCCTCTTAGAAATTAGGATGCTGCTAGATAAACTGGTATTATGGTCAAGATACTTATAAAGACAAAAATAGGGGCTGGCACTATGGTGCAGTGGGATAAGCTGTGGTCTGCAATGTTGGTCTCCCATTTGAGCACTGGTTTGAGCACCAGTTGCTCCACTTCCAATCCACCTCCCTGCTAAAGTGCCCGAGAAGTTAGCAGAAGACGGTCAAA